CTCCATATGGCCTTTTCAAGAAACTAGGCATCCGTGGACCCAAACCTATGCCCTTTATTGGGACCTTTTTGGGGTACACAAAGGTGAGACGCATTCAAATGTGTGATCTAAGCTTACACTCCTCTTATAATAGTTTTGACTTCTCTATTCCTTAGGGCATTCACAATTTCGACACAGAATGCTATCAGAAATATGGAAAGATGTGGGGGTAAGTGTGTGTACAAGAATACTCTTATCTCTTAACTCTTATTGTTATTATCTTAACATACATAGCAAAGCTCCAGGCTGTAACTGGCTCGCCACAATATCTGTCATTTAATTTGAAGGTTGTACGATGGCAGGCAGCCAATAATCGCTACGATGGACACAGCTATGATCAAAGCAGTCTTGGTTAAGGAGTGTTATTCTGTCTTCACTAACAGACGGGTAAGGAGCAAAGCACACTGTTCCCAGTGATTCCCAAGTTAAGACCTCAATACTAATCAAATGTACACCACAATGTAAATAAGGCATTATGTGTTTGTTTGTTTGTTTGTTTGTTTGTTTGTGTCTGTATATGTGTGTGTGGGGTGGGGGTTGGCTTTAGGATCTGGGCCTAAATGGACCCTTACGTGATGCCGTACCAGTGGTAGAAGATGAACAATGGAAGAGGATTCGCAGTGTACTCTCACCGTCATTCACCAGCGGTCGCCTGAAAGAGGTTAAAAAGCACACTGCACCTTTAAAATATTTGTAATGAGCATTTGTACATTATTTACACCAGTTGATCATTATGGTATGAAAAGCATTCATTATTTATTTATTTATTTTATTTTCACAGATGTATCCGATAATGTTGCAGCACTCAGGTAATCTGATCCAGAGCCTTCACAAGAAAGTAGAGGCAGAAGAAGTCCTAGATGTTAAAGAGTGAGTACTTTTTTGATGAGATTTGGGCAATGACTTTTCATCTTTTTCATCTAAAGTCTTTTAAGAGGATTTTTTTTTATTGTGCTATTCATTATTCAAGGGAACAACATTTCTTAAAAGAAACATTTGCATGCGTTAACCTTTGGCTTGTTCCAACGTTTGTATGTTGGCCTTTCTTTGTAGTGTATTTGGACCATACAGTATGGATGTTGTGACCAGCACTGCCTTCAGTGTGGACATTGATTCCATCAACAATCCCTCTGATCCTTTTGTATCAAACATAAAGAGAATGGTCAAGTTCAACTTCCTGAATCCCTTGCTTGTGCTTATCGGTATGTCAAAGTTATGCTGTACAACCTGACTGTCTAACTCGACCTCTTAAACCCAAAATTAACTGTCTTTTGAACTATGATTCTTTTCAGTTCTGTTTCCATTCTTGAGAGGAATTTTTGAAAAGATGGATGTGTCATTCTTCCCTGCTGAAGTGACAAGGTTCTTCTACAACTTTCTAGCATCTATCAAATCAGACCGGAATAATAAAGAACATAAGGTATGTACAATTGATTGATGTTGATTTTTGTCCATTTTTGATATGTTGTGTTCATACCTTTCCCTTGAAACACAAACTGGAGAATCAATATAGGATTTCTACTTTCTACTTTGCCTTGCAGAATCGAGTGGATTTCATGCAGTTGATGGTGGACTCTCAAAGTTCAAAGAACAAAGACGATGCAAGCCCCAACAAAGGTAGAGAAATAAATCATATTTAATTTTCTCTGTAGTCGCGGCTAAAGGGTCACTTTCTTTAAAAAAAAGAAAAATCCCTTGGTTAAAAATAGAGTTTTTAACATTGTCTATATGCTATAAGACATAACATGAGATAGATAAGCAGTTAACACCATGGCTGAGGTGTTTATCAGGAATGTTTGAATATGTTAATCATGTTTTTTTTGTTTTACAGGACTGACTGATCACGAGATCCTGTCCCAGGCAATGACATTCATCTTTGCTGGCTATGAAACCAGTAGCAGCACACTTGGATTTGTAGCCTACACCCTGGCAACACACCCTGAAATTCAAAAGATCTTGCAAGAGGAGATTGATGAAACCTTACCAGAAAAGGTTACTAGAGAGTTTTTTTTACTGTATCTATATTTGTATTTAATCAGCAACTGATCATGTGCTACCAACTACTTTATACTCCAGGATCGGCCAACCTATGAAGCAGCGATGCAGATGGAATACCTGGAGATGGTGATTAATGAGGCGATGAGGCTGTACCCTATTGCTAATCGATTAGAGAGAATGGCAAAGTCCTCCGTGGAGATTAACGGTGTGACCATCCCTAAAGGAACTGTCATAATGGTGCCAATTTACACTCTACACCGTGACCCTGATCTGTGGTCTGAGCCTGAGGCTTTCAAACCTGAAAGGTACTATACTAGATTGATGGCAGACTAAGGTACATTTTTACCTGAATTTAGTCATTCGGCTAATCAACTTAAGATGTTTGTTCATTCTTTTTTAGGTTCAGCAAAGAGAACAAAGCCAACATAGATCCATATGCCTTCCTGCCCTTTGGAGCAGGGCCAAGGAACTGTATTGGCATGCGATTTGCTCTCTTGATGATGAAGTTGGCTCTGATAGAGATACTTCAGAACTTCAGCTTTGTCACTTGCAAGGAGACAGTTGTAAGGAAACATTTTCAGTGTGTGTTGTCAATAGTGAAGGTTTTTATGTAAGGTTGGGTGCAATCATGTTTGAGCTTTTACAGGGGTTCATTTTGGTCACATTTCTTGTTTTCCTAGATTCCAATGGAGCTGGGAGTTGATGAATTGACTACCCCCAAGAATCCCATCAAACTGAAGCTGGTGCCCAGAGCAACTGTTGCCGATTCTCCCTCAAGCTAACTTTTCGATTATCTGCAACAGCTTGCTATCTCTCTTTTTCAAACCAATCTACAGCTTAACATTTTATTAATAATCAAATTAAAGGACACCATTTATTGTCAGAACACCATGTAAACTTGGCTCAAAAAGCTTGGTTCTACTTAAAAAAACATTGCATATGTTTTCGTGCTTTTGATTTACTCAAATAACTTAATTTTTCTCTATGTATTTTGACTAAATATATCCTTCTTTGTTATCTTTTTTAAAATCTTGAATATAAAAGATTAACATTTTTTGTAATCACCAGTACTATTCTTAACACACATGCTACATAATTGTATGGCAATTTGTTATCACTATATATGCTAATACTGTAAAAATAGTTTTATAACATGATCAAGTTCTATGTAACAGTGGAACGTATACATCTCAAAATTATAAAAGAAAAAAACTACATTACAATTGTATTTTATCTCAAAAACGCCATGTAGAGAGTTTAAATATGCTCAAATATCCAGTTTTGCTTGTTTCCATGTTGTTGGATTATGGCTATGCTATTTTATCTGCTTTTCGAGGTTGGAGTGGAGAGTTTATCACAGAGTGCACCTGAGTAGGCTTTACTTATTGCAGCAAATAATGACCTCATTCTCCATCCCTTTCAATCATGGCTTTGCTCATATAACTTATATGTTGTAATCACATCTCATTTGTACTTTTGTTTTCATTTATCTAATAAAAGTTCTTAAACTCATTTGGTAATCTGCTATTTTAGGCAAACTAAGCCTTTATTTTGGAAATATAATAATATAATTCATAACTCACATGGGTCTTTTTTCTGCATGGTACTTTTGATTCTTCTTACCTTTGCAGAATAATCATTTTACTTAACTAATGTTTTGAATTCAGGACTTGTACTTGTACTCAAGTGTTTTGACACCTTAGACTATTTTTACTTTATTACCAGATCTGGATACTTCTTTACTGAACAGTTATTTAAAGATCATTGCAATTTGTGCTGCCTTGATATCAGCAGTATAGGAAACATTAAAAGCCAGTGAAGTACCTGTAGGTGAAAGGGTACTCTCACATGATGATAAACGATGACAGGTGAAAGATAAAACACAAGCAGAGGCACATAGCACATAAAAACGGTCTTGCAGTGCTTTACATCATTCAAATGATGATAGACATTCATAGGGAACATGAGGCTGAACTTTGACGGAAATACCCTTTTCAGAGTCTCAAGGGTAGGTACCAGCAGTCTCTTACTTACACACTGTCGTGGGAATATTTCAGCAACAATGACTTTGCACAATTTAGAGCAGATCGCTTAAGAAAAACATCTTGTCTATCAGGTTCCTTCTTTTCAATAAGACCCGGTCTAAAAATGGTAGTAACAAAATAAGTGAACATTGACTCTTCTTTGACAACCCTCTCCCTATCCTATTTCACTAAATAATTGGCGTTGTTTTAAATGTCAGGACATGCTTCCAAGGGCTGAACATGACCTGACACTCCCATATTGTTGGACAATACCAGCACACTATTTGAAAACAGGGTTTTAATGTGGGACTTCACAGCATTTCTGGCCCACACATGGACATACATCAACTTAAATAAAACTTTAGAACTTTATTATTATTATTAAACTTTAGGTGTGAATAGAGCATAGCCTACTGTAGGCTTGGAGACATCAGGTGGTGTTTGGTTGTAAATGCTGTAATTTGGACGTTAGGGGGCGTTAAAACACTGAGAGACGATGCAAGTCCTCTCTCCTCACACGAGGCGTCCATATTTAGGGGAATTTTAAGAAATAACCTGAAATAACCTAAATCCTAGTAGTAATTTAACGGATTGTCTGTGTGCAGGAGCATTCGTTATATTCATTTATAATCAATTGAATATGTTGAATATGTAGCTTTTGATTGCAAAATACTCAGTTGGAGCACACTCATACTATTGTCACTAATAATTTACTATCACAACTACTCAACATGCACCTATAGTATGCCATGATTAGACCAAATGTACCAAATTACGCTAAGAAATAGGCATGTGTAGAAATCAACACTGGACGTCCGAAACAAAGAGGTTTATCCCAGAGACTCAGGGACGCCCTAATCCCCGCCCCCTAGCGAAATGCCATCCAGCCATTGGTCTGATTGTTACACTACGCCACTTTGATTGGCTGGCGGCCTCGTCGTTGAACGTCTGTTGTTTGCACTCGCCTGAGAGCCAGGGCGCTGTGACAGTGGACTGCTTTGATTCATGCTGTTGTGGAGCCTCCTTTTTGGATTTGGAGAACAATTAATGCGGCCAGAACTGAGCGCATGAAGGTATGTTTACACGGGAGGTTGTGGGAATAATTGCTACATGTCTTCCACAAATTAAGTCTCTAATATAGTGGGGCTTTTTTGAGTAAAAAAATGTAAAATTAAAAAGTCCATAGACAGGTTTTTGACCCAACCTATTTGCTCGTAGTGCATGGTGCTTGTCATTTCTGGTTAAGTGAAACTTTACAGCCGCCAACTAGTCAGTACTTTGCACTAAAACCTATTGCTAAAGTACATTTAGAAAGACAGATAAAAGCAACAATCGCAGAGAACCAGGGGTCTTATGTTGAGTTCATTTTCAGGGTAATGGGTGTGATTACTTCAGTAATATTGATGCAGTATTGATTTTACCATCATCACTGCAGGCGATATGAATGATAGCTAATGTGTTGTTTGTGTGATGTCTATATGACTTTGCAATTGAAGTTAATGTTTCCAACACGGGAAATAATGACAGTCCCTTGTGTCAGACAAAGGCCTAAGACGGCAGGTGGATCCTCTGCTGTTCCTGAGCAACCGCTGCGATCATTAGTTTGGTTTGAACACAATGTGCAATCTGTCTTGCACATTGAGCATAGATCCTTCCTGGTTAATGAGCCATGATAAGTTAAAAGTGTAATCCATGCTTTGTGTACTACTGAGAGAAAAGATGACCATAAATAAAATAAGTGAACTGTGTCCTCCTAGTGCACACAAGCAAAGACTAGTGAGACAAATTAGCTCCAATGCTGTCTTATATAGACTTTTTTTTACTTTGCTCGATCATCATGTGATGAGTTGCATGGATGAACCATATATCATTGCAATACTGTAAGATGTTTACATTGGGCAGTTATGAGTTCATCACAAAGCCACACTGCAACTTTGCCATATGAAACCATGCAGGCTAGAGAGTTGGATTCAGGGATTTACTATTCACTGATACTTCTCATGGTGTGGGCATCCCTGGAATGTAGACATTATTTTCCATGGACACTGATTTACAGATATCGGGTGACACATCGAGTTCTGCCTTGACAGCAAACAGCTCAAACACACGTGTGTGTGTGTGTGTGTGTGTGTGTGTGTGTGTGTGTGTGTGTGTGTGTGTGTGTGTGTGTGTGTGTGTGTGTGTGTGTGTGTGTGTGTGTGTGTGTGTGTGTGTGTGTGTGTGTGTGTGTGTGTGTGTGTGTGTGTGTGTTGTGTGTGTGGTGTGTGTGTGTGTGTGTGTGTGTGTGTGTGTGTGTGTGTTGTGGCTGTGTGTGTGTGTGTGTGTGTGTGTGTGTGTGTGTGTGGCTGTAAATGTGTGGTGAGCCACAGAATGCACCGAGGTATTTGAATGCTGCAGCAGGAAAGTAAACAGTAGCCAACATTCTCTATTAGAGAAGAGGATAAGTTTGTTCAAAGTGAGGATGAAGACGGTTGCTTTAACTTTTGGTACTGAGGAGGGACAAATTCAAGTTAAAATCTGAACAAATTAGCAGGAAAACATTTTTTTTTTAAAAGCATGGCATAATAGTGACTAAATGGTTATCTGACTAACCAGCTTGCTTGCATTTTGTCAAACACATGATTAACACTCTTAGGAGCAACCCACCATGATGAGGCACTGATAATAACAACCTGAAAGCAACTTCAACAATGATGAAGTCAACTGTGTTTTGTCTTTCTCTTAATTTTAAGGATGACATCAGCTGTGTGAAGTGTGTTGTGGCCCTATGACTGGACCTAGCTGATGAATCACAGGACACAGTGGATGGAGTGCGGGATGGCTAATACCTTAAAAGTGTGTGCAAATAAGATGTTTCAAACATCTCATTCACCTTAAAACAAATACAATCTTTACTATGGAGACCGAATACAGCAACTGTCCTCAGTCCCTCAGCAACTTAACATGCAGATATGCTAATTACTTCCTGTTTATAACCCTGGGCACAACACAGTGAGGCCAAAGATGGGACCCAAAATCCCATCCTAAACACGTTCTGTGCGACTCACTGACAAAATGCTCTCAGAAAAGTCACTAACGCTAGCACTAAGTGCACCGCTTCACATCAATCCATTTAAAGCTAATAAAAAGCCTAAAAAGCATAAAGCCAGTCACATTTTAATTTCTTGACTAGGTAGATCATTTTGATTGAATTTTAAGTACATTTTATTCCTTAAAAACTACCAGTAAGAATATGTATCTTAAATATTCCCTCTCCCTCGCTCTGTGTCCTCAGGATGAGAAGATGAATGTGGAGGCTCTAAGCAGAGGAGAGCTGCTGACTCTCCTCAGTGTCCTGGAGGGAGAGCTGGAGGCCCAGGATGTGGTCATACATGCCCTCAGAGTGAGTATTGACACTTTCATACACATTGCAGAACACCTCACATGTATTTGGGAGCAGTCATACGCAATAAAAGCTGAAAAACAATATTAAAGCTGTCCTAGCAACCTATTAAAAAAACACACTTGTTTGCTTGCCTTTACACTAAAATTAACCTGTCAGCATTACACCCCCCAAAAAGAATGTGTGCTAGCAGGGAGGGGATGTGTAAACAGGAAACTAAGGAAACAGAGCTAAAGACAATGGTGCAGGAGTCATTCTGGTTTCCCAGGCCTTTATTCCAACAGTTCACAAACGTTATTACTGCCTTAAACAGGATGTAGTCTACATTTCAAATTCTCATATTTTTCTTCCAATTTAGGCAATATTCAGAACTATATATGTCAACAGTTTTTGTCTTAACTATCAACATCTTTTCACATTTCTTTCAATCTGGGAAATTCCAATTGCTTCTGAACTGAAAGAATAGTTGCCCTCAGCCATAGAGGAAGACTTTGCTGGCTGTTTGGCACCTCTCTTTGGGCAGATACCTCAAACACTTGTTATCAGGCTTTCTCTGACAAATCAGCTGCATCCTACTGTGTTTCAAACTCTGAACAGACTAGGGCGATGTCTCGTCTTTCAATCCAACTGCACATGTTGAAAGCACCTTAGACACTCAACAACACATTTAAATTATAAATCCCCAGTTTTGTCCAGCTCATTCATTCATATTCAAGTGAAAGGGCATAGCTACAATGCTTTGCAGTGTTTGAGTCTAGTCTGATTGGCTCTCCCCGTTCCCCTGGCTGCTTTTCACACTCATGATCGCTGCAGCTGCTCCATGCTCGGATGAAGCTGCTTAGTCTCTGAATGCTTGACTCATTGTCTAAAGTAGTGATTCATGCTGTGACGAGGACAAGTAGCAACCCTGACTGTCTAGTCTTAATGAACCGGCCTTGATAGGGAAGTTCATCTAGCAAGTAAGTTAGGCTGTAATCATGAAATAATTTTCGTGCCAGGGCTTGAAGGGAAGCCGATCTTACATTACCAGCCCTGATGCATCTTAGATGGCAGTTTTCCAGATCTGATGCAAGCAGGGTTGGCCCCAAACGCTACGCACACGCACATAAGTTCCCCTTAGGACAAATGTACAGTCGCCATGCTGTCTGTACTTATTCATCTTTCTGTATCTCTAACCGCTTTTTACCCTCTTCCTCCATTCCTCCTTCCTCACACACAGCGACATTACGGGGGGTCTTTCATCTTTACCATGACCCTAGTCCTATCTACCCACTCATTCACTCACACACACGCTCTGGTGGTCTCTGGTGGGCCAGTTACAGGCTGCAGTGTTTATTATGGAGAGGATGTAAAGAGTTGTAGGCTCAAATCACTGACTTCCCGTGTTCCCACTGGGGGCTTGTACTACGGTTTTACTGACTGGTCGAAGATAGGGTAGATTGTGTGTAGCCATGGGGCTAGGTCAGGGGTTGATAGCAGAATAATGTGTCCAATATTGAGCTCTGTCTGACTGTGTATTGATTTTCCACCCAGAAGGTTGGATTGTAATGTCAGTCTTTCCTGTTTTTCATTTTCCAACTGTGACTTTTTACTGATTCTTGATGTGCCATAGTGTTTTTTTCTTCCATCTAGAGTTCTCTTCTGGCATTTTCAGCTAGCATGCCACATTTACCACAATCAGTATGTGTCAATAATGTTAACTTGAGGACAGTTGAGAAAGTTAAAACAGCACTTAAATTCTCGCCTCTCTTTTCCCAAACTTTAAATATTTTCTCTCCTCAGCAGCAAGTACTTGGGATTCCTTTAGATTGCTTGGGACAACCGCATTCAGATGCCTCCCTGTACACGACACCTCTAAAAAGTTGAATCTGTGTCAGTGTTTGCTTACTTTTATGGTGGCGTCACCATTGGGACATGTCTCTACAGATTGTACTGATTTTAGTTCTCATAACGAAGGAGACAGAGTAGCAGTTTTACTTGAGTGTACATTCCTGAGAACATGACACCAGAAACAGGTTGTGCAGTTCTACAGGAGTGGCGTATCTTATGAGTTGATGATTGTCTATATCTATACAGGAACTAATTCTGCTCTGTCAGGCATACAGTACATGGCATTAATCCAACATAGAGAACGTTCCAGTAGCTCAAAGGAATGACAGTTAGAGAAAGGAAAACAGACCTGCCTTTTAAATTCTCCGTTATGAAAAATATTTCTTAGGTTTGTTCTTGAGTACCTTTGGCTGTGAAACAAATATGGCCACTTGAAAATGGATTGAACCGTTTTTGTTTTGGTTCAAATGTTGCAGTCATGTTGAGCAGGACCAGTCTTGTTTTATATATGATGTCATATCCTGTAATCCTAAAATGCTTTGTCTATTTTGGCAGGCTGACATGATTTCCTGACTCCATAAAACAATAGGGCTTGGTTAGAGTGTGCTGTTCAGATAAGATTGTATATTCTGTTCCTGTACAAACATCACTCCCTAAATTGGACATGTTTTAGAGATTGCTAAGGGTAAAATATGATAAAAATGAGCACAAACCTCAGAGAGGGTGCCCTTAAAAGCATTAGCTATTATAAGACTGTAATGCACAGTCGTCTATGATGACTGTGAAGTGCTTCCACATCAACTGCCTAAGGCCTGCGAGTGTAAAGCTTCCTGACCTGAATATGCCGACATGACTGGTCAAACTTTCTTTTATTCTGTTGCTTTTGCTAAGATCAAGTTCTAACCTGCACATAGCACATCACACACTTAATTTACATCAAATATTAGTCCATGTGAGAAATAAATCGGGTACTATATTTCCTAAGTAAAGATTCCTTTTTATGGCAGCCTGTCTTATCCCTTGACCCAGCTCAAAATAAGGATCATATCTGTTATGGTAACGAGCTCCACCCTAAGCCGCTATTTGCACTGAACACGAGAGTATTTGCTTGCTACAAATAGAATAGTGATATAAGTGGTCAGTCATAGATAAGAAAATCACTGCTTCTCAAAGCAGTTCTTGTTGACATTTGTAACATAAATCAGTTTAATTTTTGACTCAGTTGAGGAGGACTTCCTTGTTCCACCCTAATGATTTGCTTCTCCAAAAGCATTGTCCGACCAAAGGGCAAGAGCACCTGCTCCCATGTTTCCTCAATAACCACTGATGATAGCAACTGGGGCGGTTAATCATTACTTTGAAGTTGTCTTGTTGCACAGCCCATAAAATAAAGTAAGGTTTGGTTTGGCGTCTTCCAAGTTATCTTAGTGCTGTCTGTGGTAAATGTGTGGGTGGGAGGTGTGGAAGATGCAGCCAAAGCCTTAAGCACACACCTTAGCACTTTAAAAAGCACAAACTTAAAACTCTTTTTCTCTCTCTTGTCTCTGTTTCTTGCTCTCTTTTATTTGTCTTTCTTTTGCTGAGCATGTTTTGCAAATATGTCACTGAGGCAGGCCCCCTGTACAAATTGCAGCTATTGTATCTGGGGCCCATGTTTTGTCTGTTATGGTAAATATGGGGAAAAAAGCCCCTTTCAGTACAAAAACATTATTTCCCCCTGAGGTTCTCTTTTCTATTACTAACTATGTTTTGCTCTCTGAGATATTTGCACGAGACACCAGGTTTTCTTTTTCAAACTGATATTCCTTGCACATTTTCTAAACCTAGTTCTTTCCTTAAAGTGAACTTTCTTGACAGTATTTTAATGGTACACATTTGAAAATATTTTAAAGAAAAGCACTACAAATGGTTAATTGTATACCGATTAAGCTTACAAAACATTCTGGTACAAACAACCTAGTACTGTTAATGTATTGATAGCACAACAGTATCTGCTCGTTTATGGGACAAATATGACTGCTCTCAGTTCATTTGAGTAAGTGTTTATGTGAAGAGATGTAAGGATCTACTAATAAATACTTGTGAAAGTTGTAAGACCCACAGATGATATCACCAAACTCTCTGGCACTATACTGTAGCTTCTCTTTAGGCCTCAACAATAATACTATCCATTTATGTATCTTTAAGTCAGTACATTTGCAATATGTGTTATCTCAAGACAATACTACATACTGTTATTCTGTCAGTGTTGTGTAGCTAATGATTATGTTGTCCTTAGTGGCTGGTTAGCTAGTCATTAGTCTGTCGCTCCAAACTTCCTTTGAAATGCTCAAACTAAATAAGACTTGCACACTGATGGGTTGGTATACAATATGTTTTTTTAATATTTCTTAAGGTATATTTGACATTTACTCAACTAGTGCCTTATGGAAATACTTCATAGCACGCAGTTCAGACGTAGTTTTGTACAGCTTGTCCTTATTCAAGAATTTAAATGAGTGAACTCCATCTTATGAGGACCTTATAGATAGGTTACACACTACAAGCATAAGCTTTTAGTCTGTCTGTACTCATGGACTCTGTGCCACCCATTTCTAATTTTTACGAGTTCTCCCAGACTGTTGATGCTATATGACCAGAACCAACAAAATGGGGTCAGAGCCCTTTGTGTGTGTTTGAGTTTGCAGCTTCACCAACTCTGTTAAATCAGATGTGACCGTCAGTGGATTGATACCGCTCACCTGCCAAGGCCTGTTATTCAGCACGGCTGACAAGTGGTCCATTGACTAAATGTCCTTGTCCACTATTAAGTAGAGCAGAGTAGTTGTCCTCTCCCCATGAGGAAAACTGCACTGCTAACATCTTACTTCCTCATCCAAGAAAACACTGAAGCTAGGGACATAAATCTGAAGAGGATCCAACACTAAAGAGTCTGCAGCTGCTGACCTAGTGTCATCTTTTGTTCTCCACAGTCTTTGTTTCCCATTAGAGCCTACCTCCTCTCATAGTCTTAGACAGTTACATGATATTAATTCAAGATTCTTGATTAATGAATATAACTAATAATACTAGAAGTAATAAAGGTAAAATGTGGGGGCATCCCAATGTATTGTCCTCCTATGGTAACACTAGCACAAGCCTTAAATTCTAACAAAGACTTTCATATTTGACAGGTCTGGTCCTGCTGTCCTTTTGTCACTATTTCTCTTAAGAGAGGAACTAATTCACCACATATGTTTCCCATAAACCCCCTCTACAAAGCTTCAGGATTAAAAACGTTGGAGACAGTCGGTTATGCGAAAAACCTTATGCAGCATGGTGTGCAAACAAATGCCAGCAGCATGCTCATTGCTCAGATGCTCATTCATGCTCATTTTGAATGCAATTCCTGTCAGATGAAGGGCCAAACTACATTTGTAACAGGAGATGTACCATTTAGAGTTGCTGCCTTCATTGTCTGATGGCCATTATAGAGGATCTCTAAGGAAACAGGACTCCCTGGTTCTTTTCAGCTCACACAAGAGATGATTGTATCCTGGGGCTGTAGGTAACGGACTAACAGAATTGTTCCAGGTGAAAAGCATCAGGTTGTCTTCCACACGTCGTTACAGCTGCGGGAATGCATTAGGGGATACAATCTGTTGAAGAGGGTAATGCTCAAACAAGCTGGAGCACACCACTTTCCATAGCTCTCACATGGCATGATATTTGAGATGATTTCTTGATCTGAATTCCAAAACAGAATTATTGATTATGAAACAGGGAGTAACAGCATGTCATTTATTCCTTCCCACCCATAGTTGTGGAGACATTTGTCATCAGTAGTTCCAGCTCAGCCTTACAGCAGAGAGGGTTTGCTTGTTGTGCCCTTTCATAAAGGAAGGCACACTCTGTCATTATGATCCAAACTATCCCGGGAAAACCATGGGAGACCAGTCCCTAGGCAAGGACTGCCTCCATTGCACACACAACCACACACAACCAAACACAAACACACGCACACACAGACAATCCAATCTCAGGCTGCCCTTAATGGTCGGTTTAAACAGCCATTTAACACAGGAAGCTACAGTTTTGTCTCAGCTTGATGAAGAAGCTTTACTTTCAAAGACCAGCCCTAAACACATGCACACAGCCACAGGTAAACATGCACACCCATATTAACATAAAAAGGGGGGGAAAAGACACAGAGATACTACCCACACATGCGTACCCATCCTAACATGCACACTGAAGCCTTCAGGGTCAGACATGGAGACAATGCCTAAGACTCAAGGCATTGAGACAGCGTCTTTGTTCAAGTCCTGTAATCTCCTCACTGAGGGTCACATTCTTTGTTCAGCCAGAGAAAGAGCCTCAAATACAGCATGCCTACTGATGCCCTCTGGGTGTATATGTGTGTATTTGTGTTGTTCAGAGCGTGTGAGAAAAAGGACTGACAGAGAGGCGGAAGTAGAGAGGGAGAGGCATTTCTCTGAGAAATGGTGATGAACAGGCAGAGGAATGCGGTGCCATGCGTGTTTGGGCAGGGAGACGAAGGGGGGCCAGAGTACCGGGGTGTCTTATGAGGATTGGATGGGGAGACAGTGACGGGTGTCCTGAAGGCACGTGGTGTGAACTCTGTGGCTTGTGCTGACATCACTAACGCCGCCAGCTGACCCTGCATGCCTCTAGAAATCAAACCTACTCACTGTATGTCGTTAATGAGACCTGCCGATGATGTATCAGGGAGACCCAGAGTGAGGTCAACTATCACGTGTCACGTCATTTTAGCCTGTTCCTCTCAAACAAGCTGGCACAGTCTATGGTTAATGGAGACTAGTTTATTCGTCCGCAATATTCTTCTCCTTCAGCATCTCCTTGATGTTGTGCTGTCATTTATTATTGGATTATTTCGCTTTTGGTTTAGGTATATCCTAAACTCTCCATTAAAAATAGCTCTGTGTATGTTTCTTATTTAATGGCCAGGTCCTTCACCCCTACATCCCTGGGGAGGAGTTAACATCTGCCCCTGGTGGGGGTTGGACAGGCTCTTTATGTTAAGGTTGAGGGGAAAGACCATCTGCTTGTGTTCACACTGACAAACACACTAACATCCCTTCATGCAGATTTCCTGTACACACATTTACTTATGAGTCAATGTTTGATGGTGTTACATGTATGCTACAAAACGTTATTTCCCTAAAAGTCAATCTATCTCCAAAGTTCACTCAGTATGTTTGTGATGAGTTACTGTGTGTTTTTCTTGGCTGTTAGGCCCCATGTATTTTTCTTGACACATGTTTCGGGTGCTGCAATGCAGAAACTAGGCCTTTTTAATAAAATCACATTGTTCGCTTTTTATTTTTAGTCGGGAAAGAACGCCGCAGGTAGAAATAATACACAGCTGCACTTGCCTTGATCTAATCCAGCACCTGATGCTAATGGGACAGCCTAACAGTACCATTACGTGTGCTCTATGTTTGTGTGTATCTAGGCTCAGCACAGAGATACTTTCGTCCAGCAGCGTTATGGCCAGTATGACCTCAGCGATCCATTCCTGGCCCTGCAGCGGGACAGCGAGTCAGATGAACGTGAAAACACGCTCTCCCAGCCTCAGGGACACATGCAGGGCCGGGCGGTGGGCCCCAACCCTCTGGCTGTGCTGAAACTGGTCATGGCTCACTGCAAGAGGATGCAGGAGAAGATGATGGGACAGCTGTCTGCTGCTGAGAGAAGACACAGGAGGGTGAGTAATACAGTCAGGAAACCACACATTCAGTGAATTCTATAGCTTTTACATTACATTGCATTTAGCTGACGCTTTTGTCCAAAGCGACTTACAATAAGTACATTCGACCAGGAAGACACAACCTTGAAGAAAACAGAATCATATAAGTATATCAGGTTTCATAGAGCCAAACATTTCAAGTGCTACTCAACTGGCTTTAGGTAATCCAGTCCTTTATTGGTATAAAAGTGCTTCGTTAATCGTTCTAACGCTCGAAGTGGAGTCGAAAGAGATGAGTTTTCAGTTTGCGCCGGAAGATGTGCAAGCTATCTGCCGTCCTGATGTCAATGGGGAGCTCATTCCACCATCTTGGAGCCAGGATAGCAAACCCACGTGTTTTCGCCGATGGGAACTTGGGTCCCCCTCGCAGCGAGGGCGCAACGAGTCGTTTGGCTGATGCAGAGCGTAGTGCACGCGCTGGGGTGTACGGTTTAACCATGTCCTGGATGTAGGAAGGGCCAGATCCATTCGCAGCACGGTAAGCAAGTACCAGTGTCTTGAAGTGGATTCTAGCAGTTACCGGAAGCCAGTGAAGGGAGCGGAGGAGCGGAGTGGTGTGGGAGAATTTAGGAAGGTTGAAAACCAGACGAGCCGCTGCATTCTGGATGAGCTGCAGAGGTCGGATGGCACATGCAGGTAGACCAGCCAGGAGGGAGTTGCAGTAGTCTAGGCGTGAGATGACGAGAGCCTGGACCAGAACCTGAGTCGCTTTCTGAGTCAGCTGGGGACGTATCTTCCTGATGTTGTAAAGCGTGTATCTGCAGCAGCGGGTTGTAGCAGCGATGTTTGCAGTGAAGGACAGGTTGTTATCTAGGGTCACACCCAGATTCCTTGCAGTCTGAGTCGGGGAAACAACTGAGGTGCCGATGTTGATTGTCAGGTCAAGAGTTGGACAATCTTTTCCCGGGAGGAAGAGCAGCTCAGTCTTGTCAAGGTTGAGCTTGAGGTGGTGAGCAGACATCCACTGAGAGATGTCAGCTAGACAAGCAGAGATGCGTGCGACGACCTGGGTCTCTGAGCGGGGAAAGGACAGAATTAATTGGGTGTCGTCAGCGTAGCAGTGGTAAGAAAAACCATGCGGGCTAATGACTGATCCGAGCGAGTTTGTGTACAAGGAGAAGAGGAGGGGACCAAGAACAGAGCCCTGAGGGACCCCCGTAGTTAATTGACAAGGGTCGGACTCAGACCCTCCAAGTCACCCTGTAGGTACGGTCTTTCAGGTATGAGGTGAGGAGGGAAAGTGCAGAGCCTGAAACTCCAAGTTCTTGGAGAGTGTGAAGGAGGATCTGATGATTCACCGTGTCGAATGCAGCAGACAGGTCCAACAGGATGATGACAGAGGAGAGGGATGCAGTTTTGGCCGTGTGCAGTTCCTCCGTGACAGCAATGAGAGCAGTTTCTGTGGAGTGACCTGCCTTGAAACCAGACTGGTGCGGATCCAGAAGGTTGTTCTGATTGAGATAACAGGAGAGTTGTTTAAAGACAGCGCGTTCAAGTGATTTAGACAGGAACGGGAGGAGAGAGACAGGCCTGTAGTTTATAACATCAGACGGGTTGAGAGTGGGTTTCTTTAGGAGAGGGTTTACTCTTGCCTCCTTGAGACTGTTTGGAAAGTGACCAGAAGTTAGAGAAGTGTTGATGAAATGGGTGAGAAACGGTAGAATATCAGGAGCGATAGTCTGAAGGAGGTTTGAAGGGATAGGGTCCAGAGGACAGGTGGTAGGGCGGGCAGAGGTAATGAGGGTAAGAACCTCACTTGGAGAGAGAGGGGAAAAGGAGGTTAGTGTGTTGGTGGAAGGAGGGTCTGGTGACCCAGCGGTGAGTAAAGGTGAGTCAGAAAAAGAAGAGCGAATATCATTAACCTTTTTTTCAAAGTGGGTAACAAAGTCGCTTGACAGAAGTGAGGAGGGGGGAGGAGCTTTTGGAGGGTCCAAGAGGGTGGAGAAGATGGAAAATAGTTTTTTAGGATTGGAATAGGAAGATTGGATCTTATCTTGAAAGAAAGTGCTTTTTGCCTGAGAGATCGAAGCAGAGAAAGAGGAGAGGAGAGCTTGATAGGTTAGGAGGTCGTCACGGTGTTTGGATTTCCACCATTTCCGCTCTGCTGCCCTAAGGCCCTAATTCTATAGCTCATCGTCTTCAGTTCAGATTTGCGTGTCTGGACGATGCTGCTATCCCCAGAGTACCCAAGCAGTGTCATACAAAAGGCTTGTTGTGTATGAATGCATTTATCTATTTGTCGACATGTTTGTCCCGTAGCCTTGGCTTGGGGGAGTGAGGCAGACAGGCAACATCTGAATCCGGAGCTTAGATGGGGGCATATGGAGCTTTATCAAAGTAGAGCTCATAAATATCAACCTGATGACTCTGATGAGTAAACCTTATTAAAGTTGATCAAACTGACAAAACCTAGTAATGAAGAAGAGGTTCTGCTATGCAGGCTGTTTAGTTAGTGGACACCCGTCAAAGTAACAGTTGGAGCTTGGCACATGAAAAACTTAAATGCTTAAATGTTTTTGCATTATTTTTTTAATGAAATCACTAGCCCAACATTGTCTCAACCAGTTTCTTTGATTCTAAATGGATGTCTGTGAATAGTTTTACTTTATGTTCCTCCCCAAAGTCAGATTTTCTTTGAGATTCTTCCTATAGTTGTATTGAATGTAACACTGTGTGAAGCAGGATCATCTAATAGAATGTTTTTTTTTTATAAAGAAACATTATTTGTTGATGAATGCATACACTGAATCCTGCAACAAGAAAAACCCGTCTGCATGTCATGTGATTGAATTGCTCCACCGTGTGATAGATGATAGCTGATCTGGAGGAGGAGAAACAACGGCGGGCCCAGGAGTCAGCGCAGAGTGATGCTTTCACCTTCATGCTGCGGACAGAAAGAGACAAACTGCTGCAACAGGTATGACTATGTGTAAAATATATCAAATGTACATGTACACCTGGTGTGTGTGTGTGTGTGTGTGTGTGTGTGTGTGTGTGTGTGTGTGTGTGTGTGTGTGTGTGTGTGTGTGTGTGTGTGTGTGTGTGTGTGTGTGTGTGTGTGTGTGTGTGTGTGTGTGTGTGTGTGTGTGTGTGTGTGTTGTGTGTGTGTGTGTGTGTGTGTGTGTGTGTGTGTGTGTGTGTGTGTGTGTGTGTGTGTGTGTGTGTGTGTGTGTGTGTGTGTGTGTGTGTGTGTGTGTGTGTGTGTGTGTGTGTGTGTGTGTGTGTGTGTGTGTGTGTGTGTGTGTAGGTTTGGTAAAGTCTTAGCAATAACTGGTGATCACACTTCTCTCTTGCTGATATCCAAGCTGGTTCAAGATATTTTTCCTTTCCCTCTTTCTTCTTCTTTTCTTTCCCTCTCCTCTGCCTGTGTGCACAGCGTCCTTTAGAGTAAAACCCAGCAACTGAGCAGGGAATCATCAGTACAGTTTATTGTGTGACCCAGCAGGGTGGAAAGGGCTTGGCCCGATAAAGTAACAACCCACGCAGGCACCCTTTATGCACCACTACAGTACTGTTTCAAAGGAAAGAGAGGAGGAAGAGGCCATTGTTTAGTTGTCCAGCAGCCATGTGGCTTTATGGCCTCAGGAAACCTGAGATAATGGATGTCCATGTCTAATGCAAGGTCAGCTGGCGCACACATACTGTGAGCACACAATCAGCCACTATACAAACTTCATACAGGGGCTTTATGTAAGAAACGGTTCCTGAGTGTCTTCCTCAGGCTTCCTGACTGTGTTGTTTTTCTGTACATGTGTTTCATCACCTCTCCTTTCCATCGATAACTCATCAAAGCTTTCAGCCGCCCATTCACCGTCTAATGACCTCACAGCAAACTAAACTTTCCATAAACTTGCCGAGTAAGCAAATATTTATTTAACATGGCAAAACATGACCAAATGCTTCTTTCTGTTTCTCTTCTGACTCTTAAACGACATAGTGTCGTTCATCCATTTTCCTAAATCCATAGTAATTTAGGTGTCCCAAATGCAATTTAAAGTTTAGTAGACAATAAGTACAGACTAGAAAGCCGACATTTTGATATGCATTGGGTCTAATAAATAATACATTTGACATATTGTATGCCATTTAATCTGTTTCAAATGAATGAATGAATAGGGGGATTCCCTTTGCAGTAGTTAAGTTCTATTTAAAAATAAACAGAAAAGACACTCAGTCACTTTTGACTTAATCATAGTTTGTATTTGCAATGGAATAAGTGCAAAATACATACCAAAATGTTTACACTGAAACAAGGTAGGCGTTTTCTTCCTGTGTTGGATCCAATGTTACAAAGCAGTGTTCTTTTGCCTCCTTGTGGCCAAATGTGGAAAAGCTGCCTCGCCTTTAATCTTTTATCTCTTTCTCTAGTTGGAAGTGGAGTGTGCAACTGTGCGGAAGTTAGAGCAGCAACAAGCCGAGGCAGCGAGCCAGGTGGAGGAGTCACTGTCCCAGCAGCAACAGATCTCCTCAACCCTGACGCTGGAGCTCCAGAAAGCCAACAGCCAGGCACAAGAGGAGGCTCAGAAGGTCTCCCAACTTCACTCCTTACTCCAAGAGGAGTCCAGTGCCATGGAGAAGCTCCGTGGGGTTCTTGAAGATGAGAAGAGCAGGGCAGAAGAGCTGGAGGCCCGGTCTGAGAGGCAGCTGACTGAGTTTAACACGGAACGAGAGCAGATGAAGGCCAGGATTAGCAAAGAGGAGGAGAGGAGTACGGAGCTCGAGAAACAGTTGGAGGAGTTGAGGAAGAGGTTGGCTGAAACTGGAGGGGGGTAAAGAAAAGGCAAAGGAGGCTGAGGAGACAGAGGTGAAGGAATCTCTTTCCAAAATGATGTTGGTGTCCACTTCTGTTCAGACTGAGCCGGATGGAAAGATAACTGTCGCTCCTAAATCCTGCTCAGGGTCAAAGGTCAATGGGCATCACACTCAAAAAGAGACAGAGCCGGCACAGGAGGGAAGAGGAGCAGACAATGGAGGGGTGGTAGAGAATGGGGGTGGAACACTTTTGCATTCCCCTCTTCCCCCTCACCCTCATCCTCACTCTCCGTCCAGCACAGCCTCCTCTTCCCTCTCTTCTTCTCCTATTTCCTCCCCTGTTCTTGCCAAGCGTCTGGGCAGCCCAGGCTTCCATCAGTCCTCCTACCAGGCCAGTGTGAACCAGCGATTCCACGCCGCCAGGCACAAGTTCCAGAGCCAGGCTGAGCTGGAGCATCAGCTGCATGGAGGCCCTCTTTCCCCCAGAGACCTCTCCCCCACCACCTCTTCCATCCCTCCCCCACTAGAGCACAGCTCGGCAAAGCAGCTGGCCCGCAACACCGTCACTCAGGTGCTGTCCCGCTTCACCAGCCAGCAGGCCGGCGTCAAGCTGGCACCAATCAGCAGCTCTCCTTTTGGTACAGACTACCGCAATCTTGCAGCATCTCCTCCTGGGGGAAGGTCTCCTTCTTCAGGGCCTTTATCTCCAGGCATCCGCTCCCCCCTCACTCCTCGCTCAGAAAGGACCCATCCTCCTCCAATCCCTCCCAAGAAACCAGGCATGAGTCCAACTCCAGGTTCTCCAATTCACTCAGCTCGGGCCAGTCTCTTCCCCGAGCTGACGGGGAACTGCGGACACAGCAACAGCGGGCAGGAAGGAGCCAAGGAGCCGGACCTGCTTTTATCTTCGAGCTAACAGCCAGATTCTACAAACTTACCTGTAAAAGAGTGAGGCCTACATCGACAGTTACTGTAATATTGACCTTTATCAGCCCTCATACGCTCTTCATAGCACACTAAATCAGTAGTAGAGACACTTCAGAGCTGGACTGGTTCTGGGAGATGCGTCACAGTCCTCCACACCCCTACCTCCATACCACACCCTGAGAAAAAAAGAACTATTTCAAATAAAATATAGTTTATTATGATTTTTCTTTAATCTGATTTAATATTTCTTTTACCATTCCTGACTTCTTTATCTAGATTTGTTTGTAAGTTTAAAGTTTTAGAATGAAAATATTTATCTTTCATTTTCCACATTCACCCTATAATAAGGGTGTTTAGAAATCGTATGTATAAAGAGAACAAGCTAAAGACCTGTTTGGTTTTAAAGAAAGAAACGTTAGAGGTTTCAAAGTACAACATTCCTTTTCTTTCTCTATAATGCTCAAATCGCCAGTCATTTTATAATCAAAAACGCCACGGCTTGAGTCAGAAGCAACACTGTATAGCAAGTAGGAGGGCTAACCATGGATGTAGAGTAGAGAACATGTTTAGATATCACCGTTACACAGTAAACTATAGTGAGTCATTTATAAATGTTTTTCCAATGAATCCTTATGCAGTTCCTGTTGAGATGGTCCATGCAAACACTATTATACTGTAAATAGTTTAAAGTTTATTTTAATTACCATCAGATGCATGTGCTGTTTTTTTCTATTACGTTAGTCATGAATACACTGAATCTTAAAAAGGGAGAGCACACTTTGTACTACATTACTATAATATATTGTATGTCTACAATTCATTTTTATATTCAGGGAAAGTAATGCCTTCTTTACCCAAACCAAGATGGACTATCATGCGATAACTCTTGGGGGATTTCCCATCAAGCACATGATGGGGACTTAAGGTTTGCATCTTGTTACTGCTACAGTTTTGATAGTATCCGTCAAATGATTCAGTGTTGTCTTTTCCTAACAACACTATGATGTACCTTTTTAGGTTTACTGTTTTTTTTCTGGATTTAAAATCAAGAATTGATTGAAAGTAACTGTTTCAAGCAATCAATTAAAAACTGTACATTGATACACTGTTTGTCTGTGAGGGGCATCGTCCATCAGCTTTCTCTATACATACACATATCATGAACACTTGCATCATCCAGTGCTGTTAATACATTGACAATGCCTTAAAGCTAAGTGTGTCGAAGTGTTTCTGTTAGAACAGCTAGTAAAACAATCCTGATTAATACGCTATGTAAAAAAACAACAATCCATCAAATATTTTCAATCCATTTATTTTTTACAACAGAATGGGGCAGTACAGTCTTCAACTTTATAACTGATCGGCACACAGTTGTCGTATGGTGTGAGGGTTGAACACAGCACGTAGTATAACAAGTAACTGATCCAGAGTCAGCCTACTCAGACGTTATGTAACACATACAATATGATATGGCCTTTCAGAAGTCCTGTCAGCAGTATATGATCTTGCTTTACTGTGATGCGTCCATTGGGCATCAACCAATACACGTTTGTTACAGTTAAGAGTGCATTATTTTAAGACTCCAAAAAAAAACCCGGCATATTAAAATATAAATTTGCATACATGGGTTGGAAGATGGAGTTCTTTACCATAGGAAAGAGATTTTGGCAAATAAATCTTGGTTAATATGAGTATGTTTTCCTTCTTACAAAGGAAAAGCTGTACAGCAATGGAGGTGATGTTGCCGATGTAACAGAACAGAGAATACGTTACAGCGTGGAAGTTGCTTTATCTTCATCATCAATGCTTGCATGGGTGGAGACATAAATCAGTGGAGTGCAACAGAAAACAGGTAACACTCCCTCAGCCCGGACAGACAGAGACAGACGTACAGGTGTACAGTGCAGGAACAGAGCTATGCTGAGGATCGTGCACAGCTAGACATACTGTCAATTTCACTAGCAACACACAACTACTGGTATTTCCAGTAAATGCTTTCCAAATGCTTACATTTTTCTTATAATTAAACCCTGATATGTGATGTGTGCTTCATTTCTCTCATCAGCTGCCTTGTGTGGTCCTGGTTATTTCCTCTGTGTGCTGAGAACTCCACAGTTCTGCATCAGATTGACTATTTTAACTTTTGACTTCTGGAGGTCTACTTTATACGTAGCAGTCCTGAGCAAAGCCCTGCACACTGACCCAACACAACTCTTTTACAACACACACCCAGAAGTAACCGCTTTCTCCCAACCATGATTATTTCCATAACTTTCTTACAGCAGACGGATATCTGTGCTTAATGGTCTGCAAATCTTCAGTTATACTTTTTTATTTTTTTTTATAATTCCTTGCCCCATACTGATAAAGCTTTGCTTTGGTTAGTCCTTGCGCATGTATAGGCGGGTTGTTGTGGGCCCAGTGGATTGAGCGTCTCCCTGGTAAGTCCCTGACCTTCCACTAGGCATTCTGCATCTCCTTACCAATTTTGTAACTTAGGATCTTATTCCAGTCGATCTTAGTGCGTGTGACAGGCAGCTGGCGACGCAGGGCCTTGAAGGTGGTGTCAGACATGGTCTGGTAGTTCTCACTGATGGCAGTCTGACAGAAAAGGTGGGAGTCAACAAATATTAAGTATAACATCTTCACATTTTAATTTAAAAAATAATTGTTTCTTTTAAGGTTTGGATAAAAATGAGACCTAGCATTTTAAAAAGTTTATAAAATGAAGGGTTGCTTACCTGGTAGTCATTCTCTGCATTCTCAATAATGTCAACAAATTCCTTGGCTGTCTGGCTTTCATTCTGTTTCAAAAACACATGTATAATCATTACTTTCCAACCTATTTATAGGCTTAAACTTCGTAAGCAACACAAGGTTAACACCACTGCTGAGAGACTGCATGAGTGCCCATGTATGAAAGGTTTCACTTACAGTCACTGGTATTGATTCCTCTACCTCCTTATGGCTAACCAACTGCACATTCCCATCTTCATAGTAGTGCACCTGCAGACAGACAAGACTTTCGTTAGTAAACGAGTTTAAAAACTAATGTCCCTCTTTGACTTTTTTTCCATTTCTGAAGTATAGCTCACTAAATGTAATTCACCTGGATTTTCAGCACTCCCACCACCTGAGCAGTTGACTGACCGAGGGTTAGCTTCCACTCTGACCTACAGCGACCATTCCTGTGTGAAAGAGAAGAGAGGCCCATCATTACAAACAGACAGCGGACCTATATTCAGATATTATTTCAAACAAAGGTTTGCAGGAAAGTCACTATACCAGAAGTTTTTGGGTTGAAACTGATGTCCTTCAATGCAGGCTATGATAGTTTGCTGACCATCAACAGTTTTCCCATATACCTGCACAGATGGTATCAAGTATGAGCATTTAAAATGTCAGGCACAGATGAATATTTTGTCACAATTTGTGTGCGCCTTACTGTGCACACTCCAGTAGGGTAGTGCTCCTTGACGTAGGCACTAAGGGAAGTATCACAGGCATCTCTCCAGCTTCTCAGGGCCGTCTCTCCTTCGTAGGGCTGGACATCGCTCACCTCTTTTCTTAAGTGGTCGAAGCGAAAAGCCAAACAGTTGCGAGGGTCCAGGAAACGTCCCTGACCCAAGTCCCCATGCTCTGTGATCAAGACCTATTCAAAAGAGAAGGGAAAGATTTAAAAAAGACTGGCTTTCACACGTGCTCTTCTGGAATGAATAGGAACGACTTAAGGATTACACATACCGGCTCTTCATAGCCCTCTAGCTTAGCAGGAGTAAACTGATCCATGTTGTACTGGGCAAAGGAGCTGGACAAATGGAAAAGAAAGAAAAGTTCAATAGGCGTTCATAATATCCCCCCATATTTTTCAAATAAATGTTTTCCACTGACTATTTTGAAAACACTGGCCATGTTTATAATCAAGAGTGCCGAATATATATCAAAACACAATATGATGTAATGGTGGATCGAGTGTTTTGAATGTTGTACATTTTGAGTATTGGCATTTCTGGCATTTTACTTAAAAATATGTTACTTACTGTGATGCCCCCTCCCTGAGGAGGTTGTCATTGTTGAGAAGAAGTCGCACATCTAGCAAGACACAAATAAACCACTGTTTATGCATTACTTTCATAAGAAAAAACAATCAATACCATTATCAAGCAAATGATCATATAATATATTCTACGAAATACAATATTATTATTGTTATGCAACTGTTGTCACAATTAGTCACATCTTACCATTGAAGACCTCATTGAACTCTCCCGGAGGGGCATGAGTCACAAAGTTGGCTGCTATGCGTACCTATGAAAGCGGATGAAATGCTACCAATTAATTGATTTATCATGATAATGTGACCTGCTATTAAATCAGTTCAGAGCTACACTACATGCCGTTATGCTTAAACTATAAATGAGTATAGCATCTCGATTAGAACAAAACAACTCAATCAATAATATCAAGTGAGTTTTATTTACCAACATATGAGCTTTTGTGTATGTTTTGTGATTGAAGGATTACACATCGAGACAATGCTTTATGAGAGGACACTGCAATAGAAACGCTTGTCCAGAGACTGTCATGTCAATATAAAATCCTGCCATCATCTTGCCCTAAATGTTCCTGTGGACCACCAATACATGTTTCATTTTAAATATTTCTCTATAACCAAAATGATGTCGCAACTCTGTTGATGTTAATGGTACATTGATAATTAATAATATGAATTACATGAGGGTACAAGGAACGACTGTCTGTTATTAATTTGAGCTTTGCGTCCATCTGGTAATGTGTCCAGCTTCCACTGGCAGGGTGTCACTATCAGGCTCCATATAAACGGTAAACACCGGTATCCTGAACTGCAGCCTGGAGAGGCTAACAAGTATTTGAGCTGCAACTGAATCTGTTTGACCCAGAAATCCTGAACAAGTAACGTTAGCCGCTAATGCTAGCTAACATTACATGAGAGGAATACGTAGCCCATACTGTAATTATTGCAGACACTGGCAATGCAACGCGACTTTTGAAAACTGGCGTCGATACTTTTGTTAACAATTATAAAGATAACATTTCAACAACTATAAACTGTTCTGTGTCTAGTGGTTAAAACCTTCTACCAGCCTTTGATTTCACCGCTAGCCAACTATAAGCTTTCACTAGCATCGGCTCGTTAGCTTGTGGTGACTAGAAACACTACTTTATCATTTCAATACATGACTAAATCTGGCATTGTCTTTCAAAAAACTCAACCGTGACCTAATGTGAACATTTAAGACAGGTTAATATCAACAAATAATAAAACACAACGTTAAGCAAATAATAAAACAGTCTTCAAACCTTCTCCTCTTCTGACAGCGGCTCCTCAAAGTCAGCCATCTTGGCTCTTTGTGACCCCACCTACTCCAGCTGACTGACAGGAGCAGTGCGCTGGTTGTCATTCACACACAATATTTAATGAATACTTACAACAAAATACAAACTAATTTGTACAAAATATATATTACTGTGCGTCGAAAGCTAATGTAACAAATCAATAACTTTGGATAAGCACCATGAAAATACTCTTGAGATGATGACGCAAGATGGCGCTAAAAGCTGTAATTTGTAATTTGTCAACTTTTCCAGTTGTTGCAAAACTCATTCGTCTATAAAATAAAAGCATCGACACACGTTACTGCTATGAAGAAAGGCCAAGGGAAGAAAGGGTCATTAGGGTCAACCGTGTGGCAACTATTCAAATAACACATCCTGAGGGTGAGTTTTTATTTCAGTTTTTTTTGCCAGCAAATTTCAGCAGAGGGCAGTAAGGAGGCCGCCGAGGGGAAACAGAGTCAGAGTTAGAGGTAGAAAAAGAGTAGAGTGAAAGTACCGCTTTGTACTCCACCAGACTAGTAGCGTTAACACACCATCGTTGTCATGAACTCACAGGTATGATTACGCTAAATTAAATACCTAACCCTTGATTCTAAACTCCCATTGTACCCTAGAAGTACATCTCCTATACGTTTCTAACGGTGTTAATTTAGCCGTTATTGGTGTCAATAACTACATTCACTGTAGCCAGTTTTAAAGTTAAGCTAGCACACTGCAGTAAGTATCGTGCCAGATGTAATCCTCCAAACACGACTAAAAACAAGTAGCTTATTTACCATGCTGTTTTAATCATTATTCGACAATCGCTTGGTTGGTTTGCGTTAATGATTATGCTTATGTTTATAAAGTTACCTCGGTTTTTGGTGGTAAACTGTTAAGTATAACACAACACACTTATTATGACTACAGCTTATTTGTATTATTATTATTATTAGCAGCTGTCAGCTATTTAGCTCGGAAATGAATAGGGCGGTGTTCGTTGTTGGACAGTTTGTATTGAGGCGTAGAGCGAGTTATTCTGCTGCTTGTCGTCAGGTGGTGACCAACCCAGAGGACATTGCCAGGCTCTACAGAGAGCTCAGCCTCTTCCCTTCTTTGAGCAGAGCAGACGTAGGACCTGTGGTCACCTCTCAGTATGGAGGCAAATACAGCAACATCTACACAGGTCTGTGCCATCCACTGTAACATTGTCATGAAAGATATTGTATATATTTATTTTTGAAATAATGTTCTTCGATTTCCTCTGTAGAATGGAGCCAACGTGACCTGGACAGGAATGAAAATGTCAATTTTTGCAGACAGTACATCGTATTTCATGATGACAAGTCGGTGGTGTACTCTGGAGCCTCAGGAAACTGCACTGAGATCAAAGGAGAGTATGTACCCTTTTTGTTGTTTTATCTTTAGTTCCCTAAACCAACTGTATGCAAACTAAACAATGTCTGTTGATATGTTTGTCCTGTCAGGCTGCAGAGCAAGGATTCCCCCTCAGGTGACATGAAGGCTGTGGTCAGAGAGTGCACAATCAAAGGAGAGGACAAACAGTTTCTGGAGGTGTGTGTCTGGCTCAGATTCAGCATGAAGTCCCTCACAGGCCTTACCAAAACATTTTTGAATTGCTCTAATTATAATGTTAATCTGTAACTCTGCTCTGCCACATCTACTGTTTTGAAACCCACACTCTTTGACATCTCTTCTGCTTCTTTGTGACCTTTTTAGATCTGGAGTAAAAACATAAAGATGAAAAGCATAAATCTAACAGCCTTAAAAAAACATGGCAAAGTCTATGAAGATGGTGAGTAATCTGCACATTTGTTTGTTAAATAATTTCATTTACGCTTTGCCTTTTACATATGCCAGACCCTGTGTTAATAACATTGTGTTTTGCATCCTTAGACCAGTTTGGCTGCTTGGTGTGGTCCCACTCTGAGACACATCTCTTGTATGTGGCAGAAAGGAAGAGACCTAAGGCAAAATCCTTCTTCCAGGTTTGTTAGAAAAACTGTATTTCTATATAAATTGGCACCAAATAAAATAAGACAGAGAACTGCTGAACTGCTCTCCCTTGGTTGAACATTTTAAGAATGTTGATTCTCCCTGATGTCTTTGTTGGGATTGTGTTCAATATTGAGCATAGCAAACAGTTTGTAAGTCAAGTCAATTTAACAATAGCACAAAATCTAAAAATGTCCTCAAGGGGCTTTACAATCACAGCCTACAACAGCCTCTCTCTGTACACCCTGATCCACGGGCATGACATTGTTAAAGAACCCTTTAAATGCATGTAATAGGATGCAAAACATACACGAGTGGTGAACTAATGGCTAACCTCAAATGCATAGCAAACTGGATCAAATTATAAGTCAGACGTAATGTACACCATATCGCTCAATGGTAAAAGCATTCCATAGTCTGGCCTTTTGCAAATAGTTTAACTTTGAATGCAACCCAGGTATTTTCCGTTGACTGTAAGCAGACTGTAAGACTATCGGATCAGGTTTCATGTCCTTTGTTTAATTTAGTCTGGATAGACAAGTTAAAACAGGTATATAGAATCTGTCTAATAAAGACTAGTAAAAACATGTTGCTGTTTGTTTGTTTTCTGTTTGTAGAGTGAGTCACCAGAGTTGTCTTCTATTGGGGACGAGGAGGAGACAGTGAGCAGCGAGGAAAAGGAGACTGTGAAAGTAAACGCAATTAATACTTTGGACGCAAAACACTTAAACTAGGCAAATGTTTAATTAAAAAATCTTGCATTCCATTCTAGCTTAAGATGTAGTATTAAAGTGTGGCCTTTTTATTCCTGCAGGGAGAGCAGTTTGTCTTCCATGAGGACTGGGGAGAGGGGCTGGTTGGTAAAAGCTGTCCAGTGCTTTGTGTTTTGGACATCGAGGGTGACAACGTCTCTGTGTTAGAGGGCGTACCTGACAATATCTCACCTGGACAGGTCGGTACAACAGTTTGTGTGCAGTGCTTCATATGTTTCTTGTGCACTTTTGGTGTGCTCATTAACCCTCCTGTTTCTCTCTCTTTTTCTCTGCTTCTACAGGCATTTTGGGCTCCAGGTGACACAGGCGTGGTGTTTGTTGGTTGGTTGCATGAGCCTTTCAGATGTGGCCTCAAGTTCTGCCCCAACAGGAGGTGATCGCTGTTCACACTGATAAAAGAGACACATTAAAGTTGGCTTATCATACATGACCCCAAAAATGCTCATGAGCTAATACTACAAATTATTCATGTCCCCCTTTTCTCTATCAGTTCGTCTTTGTACTATGTGGATCTTACTGGTGGGAAATGTGGTAAGTGAATGCTTGTCTTGTGTTATTTTATTATGTTTATAACAAGTGTAGCTCAATTGTGTTACTACTCCAGATGTTCACATGCATTGTTTTTGTTGTGACCCTCAGAGCAGCTAACATCAGGCACCAGTGCAGTGAGCTCCCCCAGGCTGAGCCCAGACCAGTGTCGGATTGTCTACCTGGAATGTGCTGTCTTTGGCCCGCACATGCAGTGCAGCAGGCTCTGCATGGTAAGACAGGATGGAGCCTCTTTTCCTGTGGACACATTTACTTCCTTTCATTACAAAGTGCATAGAGTGGTGCAGCGATGACGTATTTTTGTAGCCTGACCCGGAAATAAACTGCGCATGGTTTCCCTCGACAAAAAAGCAATAGGATTCTCCATAGGATTTTGGAAAATAGCTCGAGATAAGGTCTGTGGAAAACGAACCTGTTTGATAAATGCACGTTTTGTTCAGCCTAGTTTTATAATTTTCTAATCATAAATCTAATCGCCAGAAGCAAAATGCTAACGTTATGCTATAAACGAACTACAGCCGAGTACAGCAGGGTCGCCAACTTAAGATCGATATTCAAAAATACAGATTCAAAATTGTACAAGTTGAAGTGTTTGTTTGAACAGTTTGCAAGAGGCAGGTACTGGCTTTCAAGCAGAACAGGGCAAACAAACTTAGCGGGAGTGTTTACTTCTGTAGTCCTATTCAGCCACATGTTAACAACCATCGTTTTTCAGACACGTAAACTCTTCAAAAATCACCAGTGGAGTCACTGCCGATGTATTTAATGTCGTAGAACAAAACGTGATCCGTCTCTTCAATTTGTGTTAACCACTGACCTTATTTCCAGCTATTTTCCAAAATCCTATGGAGAAATCCCGTTGACTCTGAGACCAGGGAACCGGTAGTGGTAAAATGCTAACTCACTTCCGGGTTTTAGGACTCGTCACTGCACCACTCTATAGTACTTCCCGATAAGGGGAAACATATGTATCTTACACAATGCACCATCTGCTCTTTTCTGCTGTGCACGCATACACAAGTGTTCAAGCAGAAGAACATTATTGAGTTTCAAGTGTTTTCATAATCTTTCCTCTGTGCTTGTATATTTTATTTTAAGTTTGACTGGTACACTAAGAAGACCTCCGTGGTGGTGGATGTGGTGAATAGACCCGGAGAAGGTAAGACAAACCTTTTTTATCATTAGGGATGCACCGAATATTCGGCCACCGAAAATTATCGGCCGAAAATGGTTAAAAAGGCCCTTTCGGCTTTCGGCCGAAAGGGTTTTAGCACCGAAAAAATATCACCGAATGTCAGAACAGGCTTACGTTGGTAACCTAACGTGTTGTTGTGATGACGTAATAAAGACGCGGCGACCATGCTCGCGGCTGGCTCACAGGGGGGGGAACATTGACCTTTGTCATCGAGATTGCCCTGAGCCTTTAACAAATCGTATTAAATAATCTGATGACAGAATTGTAAACAGAATAGCTGAAATTTTAACAAACTAAATAACTCAATTACCTCTAATCATTAACCCATGTTTGTATAATGTAGTTAACTCCGTGTGTTGCTGCTAGCATACATAACACCTGACGTGGAAACGTTACTCGTGGATGGGGCTGCTAGAAAGACGGTCGAACCCGGTGCATTCCTCCGTCTGCATGCGGTGCACTTTTGCTAAATGTTTAGACAAATTGCTCGTGCTTACATGCTAAACTCTTATTGCACTTATGGTAACAAGTATTCTCCACATCGAGAC